AGGCGGAGGTTGCGGTGAGCCGAGATCGCGCCATTGCACTCCAGCCTGGGTAACAAGAGCGAAACTCCGTCCCCCCCAAAAAAAAAAAAGATATTTAGGCATCAATTATAGTAATGTCATAACATTCTAATAGAGGCATGTATATAACACAGTGGCCATGGCTAGTTGTCTTTGTTGCTGCTGTTAAAACAGAATACCACAGACTGGATGACTGACTGACTGATTTATTTATTGATTGAGGCAGGGTCTCACTCTGTCATCCAGTCCGGGGTTCAGTGGCATGATCACAGCTCACTGCAGCCTCAACCTCCCTCGATCAATCCTCCTGCCTCAGCCTCCTGAACAGCTGGAACTACAGGTTTGAGCCACCACGTCCCATTAATTTTAAGAAGTTGATAGACTACCTGGTTCTCATCCTTTCACCAAATGTTAACTTTTTTTTTTTGATACAGAGTCTTGCTCTCATTGCCCAGGCTGGAGTGCAGTGGCATGATCTAGGCTCACTGCAACCTCTACCTCTTGGATTCAAGCAATTCTCCTGCCTCAGCCTCCTGAGTAGCTAGGATTACATGCATGCACCACCATGCCCAACTTATTTTTGTTTTTTGGTTTTTTTAAAAAACAGGTCTCATTCTATTGCCCAGGCTGGAGTGCAGTGGACTGCTCCCAGCCCACTGAGCAACCTCTGCCTCCCAGGTTCAAGCAATTCTTGTGCCTCAGCCTCCCAAGTAGCTGGGATCACAGGTGCCCCCCACCACGCCTGGCTAATTTTTGTATTTTTAGTAGAGATGGGGTTTCACCATGTTGGCCAGGCTGGTCTCAAACTCCTGACTTCAAGTGATCCGCTTGCCTCGGCCTCCCAAAGTGCTGGGATTATAGGCATGAGCTACTGCGCTGGCCTCCGGCTTATTTTTGTATTTTTAGTAGAGACTGGGTTTCACCATGTTGGCCAAGCTGATCTCGAACTCCTGACCTCTTGCTCTGCCTGCCTCAACCTCCGAAAGTGCTGGGATTACAGGCGTAACCCACCGCACTTGGCCAATTTTTAAAAGTTTTTTTATAGAGCCTATGTTGCCCAGGCTGGTGTTGAACCCCTGGGCTCAGGCACTTCTCCCATCTTCACCTACCATAAACGTCTGAGAAATTATTGTCTTTGCTAGAGCCTCTGATGCAATCTAGCTTATTTAGTGACCAAAAAGATTCCAAATATCAATTTCCTATTGGGCCCATAGTTCTTTCCCCAGTGTCTTTTTTTTCCCCTGAACTACCCCCTCCCACCAAACTAATACATCAAAGATACTGGTCACCATTTTCTCTCCCATCCAAGTGAAAAATTCACTGTCAATTAGAACTTCCTTACTAAGCAGGTTTGATTAATAAGTTATATTCCAGGCTGGGCGCGGTGGCTCAAGCCTGTAATCCCAGCACTTTGGGAGGCCGAGGCGGGTGGATCACGAGGTCAAGAGATC